AATATTTAGAAGCGCCGAGTATCGACCCCGGTACTCTGCAAGTGAATCCATTGCATTCCAAAATTTCCCATATTTTATACTTAAAAACCCGCACAACAATTTTTATCATCATCAAGACATAACACAGTAAGATTTGAAAGCGTCGTGTATCGATACCAGTAATTTCACATGCTAAGCGAGCGCTCTACCACTGATCTACGCCCCCGGCAAGTGACTACATTTTATTCAAAGGTTACTTGTTTTATTCTCGACAACCACTCACAACCATTTTTATCAGTTCGATTGTAGCAGCCGAGCGATTCACATCGAATAAATAAATCGTAAATAATTGCATAATGTCTTCCGAGTCGGATGGTCAGTGCGGCCGACCACCTGACCCAAACCTTTTTACCTGCCGCTCTGCGATTGGAGAGATAACAGCAGATGCAAAGAACACTTGTTTAAATAGATCGAGTGACATGGATTTTTGTGATACTGAAAGTGTAATTAGTGTAGAAAATGAATCAGTTAGTAGTTGTGATTTGAACATTAAGAATAGTGTTAATGTTAATTATAAATATAATATCAACGATGTAAGTGCAGATAGTAATAAAAGGGAAACGTTAGAACAAAAGGAAAACAAAGGGGAAAACAGTAATTTAGCGTCAAATAATAGTGATACAACAATGGAAATAACAAAAGATCTAATAAGTGATAACAATATAAACGATCAAAATAAATCAGATGAAAGAGTTAATCCATTAAATAATTTGATACGTTTCGAAGGTTGCGATATGGGCCCTTACACTATATTTGTTGAATCCAAGGACAAAAATATAGGCCGACTACACCCGATGGCCTTGGGAAAAATCATACATAATGCAGGGGCATATTTCAAATTTGGTTTGACAGAAGTTTCGGTTATAGGAAAAAATAAAGTAAAGATGGAATTTAAAAGCGCCAGGGTGGCGAACAAAATTCTAGATGACAAAATTTTAGAAAAAAATAATCTGAAGGCATACATCCCAAAATACCTACTTGCAAGGCATGGCATAATATTTGATGTGGATGCGAATCTCTCAGAACAAGAAATTATAAACGCCATTGAAACAGACATTCCGGTTATAGACGTGGTATGTTTAAGACCGAAAAATAATAATACAATAAAATACTCATCACAATGTGTCAAATTAACGTTTAGGGGCACAAGTTTACCGAATAAGGTAGCTATACATTCGGTAAAATGTGAGGTTCGACCGTTTGTACAGAAAGTGGTCCAATGCTACAAATGCTGTCGGTTCAATCACGTTAAGGACCAATGTAGAGGAAAAGAGAGATGTATGAAATGTTCCGGAGAACATAATGCGAAAATATGTATAGCATCCAAATTTCTATGTGCGTTGTGCAATGGGGATCACCCTGCAAATGATAAAGAATGCACGGTATTTATTAAAAATAAAAAAATTAAAGAAATTATGGCTTGGCAGAATCTAGCATACCATGAAGCCAGAAATATATTATATAAAGACAGCTATGCAAACAAGTCAAAAGCCGGATTCAGTTTCACGGGCAAAGATAAAGAATTTCCAGGTTTGTATGCAAAACCTGCATCTAGTACAGACAGCAAGATAACTAAAAATAGGTTCGACGCCCTTTCTGATTTAGAGGAGGAGGAGCAACCGGAATTTTTAAATCCGACAACCTTTCATAAACCTAAAAGAGCGACTTACAAAATTACCAAAAGCAATACTCCATTCAATTCTGGATCCTCAATAAAAAAACAGTCAGTGAAGGAACCTGTATCAAATAGAAATAACAAAACCGAATTTAACCTCAACCCAAGAAAAAGGTTAAAACCGAGCGTGGAACGTGAATCTGCAATAGTCGAAAATAATAGCAATGTTCAACAAGATGGTTCATTAAATTTCTTAAACGAATTCATTGAAAAAATTAAACATATATACATTCCTAGTAGCGCTGAACATTATAACCTGTTGTCAGAAATACTAAACAAAATGATGAGGTCCAAAGTTGGACCCGACAAACAAGTTTGATTTGGCTGTGAGCACAGTATATTACGTATGGAAGCTTAAAATTATTTAGTGATAATAACTTAAAAAAAAATAATAATAATAATAATAATGCTAAAAATTATTCAAATCAATATCAGATCTGTTTTTTCAAATAAGCTGCATCTAGAATCCTATTTAAACACCAACCATATAGATATCGTAATATTATCTGAAACATGGCTCAAAGATAATAATAGATTTCAGATATCTGGATACGCCTTTATATCAAAGAATAGGGAAGATGGTTATGGAGGAGTTGGAATACTTATCCACCGAAGATACCAATTTCAGACGTTAAATTTAAACAGTTTCATTACCAATAAAATTCAGATTTGTGGAATTAAGCTGGCCATACATAACATAACACTTAATATTGTGGCGATTTATTGTGCCCCCGGGCACAAGACAGGAACGGAATATTGGGTGTCGCTATTCCAGGAACTAAATCAACCGTTAATACTAGCAGGGGACTGTAATGCTCACCACATAAGTTTTGGAGGGTTAAAAAACAATAATGCAGGCATAAATCTTAGTGAAGCCATAAACTCAGAGGGTTTATGTCTTATGAATGACGGAACACCTACAATGATAAGAAGACACGATAGGAATCCTTCCGCGGTAGACTTAACAATATGCAGCCCATCAGTGATGATTAGGGCTGAATGGAGTGTATTAAATGAAACTCTAGGGTCTGATCATTTAGCAATTAGTATTAATGTTAAATTAGGCAATGATAATAAGTTTAAATACAATCATAGTCCAGTAAACAGATATCGGTGGAAAATTAAAGATGCAGATTGGTCAGGTTATGCGCAAACTGTAGACAGAATGTTGTCGAATACTAATCTCAACTCTAATCCGATGATTTCCTATTCCAAGTTTATTGAATGCATTAATAATGCAGCACTAATGAATATTCCAAAAACAAATCCGTATTTGGGTACGAAATATAGAAATAAATCAAATCCTTGGTGGGACGAGGAGTGCAACAAAGTGAAGAAAATAAAATCGGAAGCAATTAAGAAATACAAAGAAATACCAAACATAGACAATTATATAAAATACAAGCGAGCGGTAGCTAAGTGTCGATTTGTATTTAAAAAGAAAAAATACGATAAATGGACAGAGTTTTGTAACTCTTTCTCCAGAGACATGTCTTCACAACAAATCTGGCACCATATAAAGGTCATGAAAAATGGAGCCACTCGAACCAATGCATTTCCTAATAACTTAGCTGATCAGTTTCTTAACTCACTTACTCCGGATACGGTAATTAATGACGTCAACATACAGGACATGGAAAAAAATGACGAATTAGAAGGTCCCTTTACCATTGATGAATTACATTTGGCACTAAAAAGGAATAGTAATACTGCGCCGGGTAATGACAATATACATTACCCCATGCTAAGTAACCTATCAGATAAGGGGAAAAAAATTCTACTGAAGGTCTTCAACGACATCTGGACTAAAGAGATTGCTGTAAAAGACTGGAGGACATATATCACAATACCAGTTCTAAAGCCTAATAAGGATGCAACAAAAATAGAATCATATCGGCCGATTTCTCTAGCGTCATGTATGTCCAAAACATTCGAACGCTTAATGAAAAGAAGAATCGAGTGGTGGCTCGAGAATAAGAAGAAATTGCCAAGTTACATGCAAGGTTTAGAAACAAAAGAGGCACGTATGATGTTCTAACTAGTTTCGTCTATGAAATTCACAACAACCTGGCCAAGAAAAATTGTGTATTGACTATCAACTTGGATTTGGAGAACGCATACAACAGGGTTCAAATACCGATTTTAATAAACATTCTATATGAATTAAAACTCCCTAAGAGATTTATTGTTCACATTTATCACTTATTGAAAGATCGAAAATTAGTCCTCAGATGTAAAGATACACATTATGGGCCACGGTATATGTCGGAAGGCTTACCTCAGGGTTCTGTCCTTAGTCCCTTGTTGTTCAACGTATACACGGCACACCTTCAAAATGAGATTGGCCAGGACGCTCGGATCATGCAATATGCAGATGATCTAATATTATCACATAGTGGAGTGTCATTAAATGATGTGATCAAAAAAATGGATCAGACCATGACGTCATTTGGAAAATGGACCACATCACTGGGATTTTCAATCTCCGAGAATAAAAGTGCAGTATCGTTTTTCACCAGACAAAGGAATTCTATTGCGATGGAGTCAATAAAATTAGGTAGATACACCTTAAAAATACAAACTACCACAAAATGTCTGGGTTTGACTATAGATAACAAATTACGATGGGGTCCACATTTGGAAAATCTGTCAAGAAAATGTGAAGATGCATTAAATATCTTGAGAGTATTAAATCACATGATGTATGGCGCTGACGTGAAGGTTGCAATCAGGATATATAAACAGCTTATATTATCTAAACTTGATTATGGCTGCTTCATTTATGGGGATGCAAGTAAAAATCTACTACGCAAACTGGATACCCTGCAAAATAAAGCTATAAGGTATTGCCTGGGAGTTTTGCGTTCAACGCCCATTAACGCCTTACATGTGGAAGCACACATAATGCCTCTGCATTTGAGGAGGAAACTGTTAGCAACGAAATTCGTTATTGACAGAATAAGGTCCAACAACGTAGAGGTGATACAAAAAATTAGTAGTGCTAACAACTGTCAGAACAGACAATATTGGCAGAATAAGAAGAAACCTATACTTATGTCAGTGATCTCAGAAACTGAATACAAATGCAAGCCATTAGAAGAACAAAACAAAGCAACAAAATTCTACTTCAACTATGAAATCACGACTACAAACCTTCAAAATATCATACAGACGGAATTTTGTAATATATATAGCAGTCCAATTGATTGGGGGTATAGATTAGAAATTGAAGATAAAATTAAAAACACGTTTCCGGACTTCGAGGTTTTCTTCACAGATGGTTCAAAAGGTCCTGAGGGCGTAGGTGCTTGCATCTATCATCAGAACACTAACTTATATACTAAATATAAGTTAGATATAAATGCGTCGATTTATACAGCTGAAATGTACGCCATAAACAAATGTATTCGGAACATCGCCTCACTTAGCTTGGAGAAAGCCGTTGTATTCAGTGATAGCCGATCATCTTTAGAGAGCCTGCTATCTATAGGCAGGGACCCAAGTTTTTTAGTGTTAGATACTCTTAATCATATACATAACATACTCTCGAAAAGAAAATCCGTTTACTTAATTTGGATCAAGAGTCATATTGGAGTAACAGGGAATGAAGCTGCTGACAAAGGAGCAAAAGATGCAATAAACACGGGTATAATCGTAGAAGATGGAATATCCCACCAAGATATCAAAAACCTATTTAAGGCAAAGATATACAAGGAGTGGCAATTGGAATTCCAAGAGTCAAGTCGTGAAAAAGGACAGTTTTATGCAGCCATACAAGAACAAATTCCTGTCAGACCATGGTTGACAAATTTACGAGGAGTCGTCATTTTTACTGCATTTTTAATCGTCTGAGAACCAATCACACCTTTACGCCTTTCCACTTGAATAGGATCGGAATTAACATCAATCCGTATTGTCATTGTCTTGGCGAAGCAAATAATGCAGATGCCAATCACCTAATTATGGAGTGTAGACATATGGAGGAAAAAAGAGAAAAACTATGGAATAAATTAACAAAACTGAGGATCCCACTTCCCACAAACCTGAGACTGATGTTGGCAGACACTGTAACTTATGATGCTATATACGAGTATATATGTGAAACTAGATTAATGGTATAGAGATTCAACATGTGTAATTAAAATTAGGTGTATATGTATATTGATGTGTCTTTGTGTATGTATATGCGTGTGTATGTATATATATGTATATGTATGTGTATATATATATATATAGGTGTGTGAATGAGTATGTATGCATGTGGATTTATATATATATGTATAATAGTCTTAATTTTTGTAGATGTGAAATTCTGTAGACAATGGCCAATGTACAAGCTTACAAAGCCAATAAAAAATAAATAAAAAAAAAAAAAAAAAAAAAACCATTTTTATCGTCACTACGATATAAAAAAATTAGATTTGGAAGCACCGCGTATCGATCCTGGTACCTCTCACATGCTAAGCAATCAAGGTTTCACGTGCTTCATACTCAACAATCTCTCACAACAATTTTTATCGTCTCCAAGACATAAAATAGTAAGATTTGGAAGCGCCGGATATCGATCCCGTTACCTCTCACATGCTAAGCGAGCGCTCTACCACTTGAGCTACGCCCCCAACGCATGTTGTTGGTTTATTTTCGACAACAACTTTCAACAATTTTTATTGTTGGCAAGACAAAATAGTAAGATTTAGAAGCGCCGAGTATCGACCCCGGTACTCTGCAAGTGAATCCATTGCATTCAAAAATTTTACGTATTTTATACTTAATAATCGCTTGCAACAATTTTTTTCGTCATCAAGACATATTAAACTAAGTTTTGACAGCTCCGGTTATGAATCACGGTACCTCCCACACGCTAAACGAGCGCTCTACCACTTGAGCTGCTTTTCCGGCAAATAACGCCATTTTATTCAAAGGTTTCACGTGTTTTATTCTCAACAACGACTCAACAATTTTTATCGCATCGGCACCGGTACCCTGCAAGTGAAGCCATTTCATTCAGAAATTTCACGTATTTTATACTTAAAAATCACTCACAACAATTTTTATCATCATCAAGACATAACAAAATAAGATTTGAAAGCGTCGGGTATCGATACCAGTAACTCTTACATGCTAAGCGAGCGCTCTACCACTTGATCTACGCCTCCGTCAAGTGACTACATTTTATTCAAACGTTTTACTTGTTTTATTCTCAACAACCACTCACAACCATTTTTATTGTCACCACGATATAAAAAAAATAGATTTGGAAGCACCGCGTATTGATCCTGGTACCTCTCACATGCTAAGCAATCAAGGTTTCACGTGCTTCATACTCAACAATCTCTCACAACAATTTTTATCGTCACCAAGACATAAAATAGTAAGATTTGGAAGCGCCGGGTATCGATCCCGGTACCTCTCACGTGTTTTACCACGTGTTTTATACTCAACAATCATTCACAACAATTTTTATCGTCACCTAGACATAAAATTCTAAGATTTGGAAGCGCCAGGTATCGATCCCGGTACCTCTCACATGCTAAGCGAGCGCTCTACCACTTGAGCTACGCCCCCAACATATGTTATTGTTTTATTTTCAACAACCACTCTCAACAATTTTTCTTGTTACCAAGACAAAATAGTAAGATTTGAAAGCGCCAAGTATCGACCCCGGTACTCTGCAAGTGAATCCATTGCATTCAAAAATTCCACGTATTTCATACTTAATAATCACTTGCAACAATTTTCTTCGTCATCAAGACATAATAAACTAAGTTTTGAAAGCGCCAATTTTGTATAACGGTACCTCCCACACGCTAAACGAGCGCTCTACCACTTGAGCTACGTCCCCGGCAAATAACGCCATTTTATTCAAAGGTTTCACGTGTTTTAATCTCAACAACCTCTCAATAATTTGTATCTTATCGGCACCGGTACCCTGCAAGTGAAAATATTTCATTCAGAAATTTCACGTATTTTATACTTAAAAATCACTCACAACAATTTTTATCATCATCAAGACATAACAAAGTAAGATTTGAAAGCGTCGGGTATGGATACCAGTAACTGTTACATGCTAAGCGAGCGCTCTACCACTTGAACTACGCCCCCGTCAAGCGACACCATTTTATTCAAAGGTTTTACTTGTTTTATTCTCAACAACCACTCACAACAATTTTTATCGTCACCACGATGTAAGAAAGTTAGTTTTGGAAGCACCGCGTATTGATCCTGGTATCTCTCACATACTAAGCAATCAAGGTTTCACGTGCTTTATACTCAACAATCTCTCACAACAATTTTTATCATCACCAAGACATAAAATAGTAAGATTTGGGAGCGCCAGATATCGATCCCGGTACCGCTCACACGCTAAGCAAGCGCTCTACCACTTGAGCTACGCTCCCGTCATGCGACACCATTTTATTCAAAGGTTTCACGTGTTTTATTCTCAACAACCACACAAACGCCGGGTATCTATCCCGGTACCTCCCACACGCTAAGCGAGCGCTCTACCACTTGATCTACGTCCCCGGCAAATAACGCAATTTCGTTTGAATTGTTTTATACTCAACAATCATTCACAATAATTTTTATCGTTACCACGATATAAAAAAATTAGATTTGGAAGCACCGCGTATCGATCCTGGTACCTCGCACATGCTAAGCAATCAAGGTTTCACGTGGTTCATACTCAACAATCTCTCACAACAATTTTTATCGTCACCAAGACATAAAATAGTAAGATTTGGAAGCGCCGGGTATCGATCCCGGTACCTCTCACATGCTAAGCGAGCGCTCTACCACTTGAGCTACGCCCCCGTCAAGCGACACCATTTTATTCAAAGGTTTCACGTTTTCAAACAATTTTTTTCGTCATCAAGACATATTAAACTAAGTTTTGAAAGCGCCGGTTATGAATCACGGTACCTTCCTCACGCTAAACGAGCGCTCTACCACTTGAGCTACTTCTCCGGCAAATAACGTCATTTTATTCAAAGGTTTCACGTGTTTTATTCTCAACAACCACTCAACAATTTTTATCGTATCGGCACCGGTACCCTGCAAGTGAAGCCATTTCATTCAGAAATTTCACGTATTTTATACTTAAAAATCACTCACAACAATTTTTATCATAATCAAGACCTAACAAAGTAAGATTTGAAAGCGTCGGGTATCGATACCAGTAACTCTTACATGCTAAGCGAGCGTCTACAACTTGATCTACGCCTCCGTCAAGTGACTACATTTTATTCTCAACAACCACTCACAACCATTTTTATCGTCACCACGATATAAAAAAATTAGATTTGGAAGCACCGCGTATCGATCCTGGTACCTCTCACATGCTAAGCAATCAAGGTTTCACGTGCTTCATACTCAACAATCTCTCACAACAATTTTTATCGTCACCAAGACATAAAATAGTAAGATTTGGAAGCGCCGGGTATCGATCCCGGTAACTCTCACGTGTTTCACCACGTGTTTTATACTCAACAATCATTCACAACAATTTTTATCGTCACCTAGACATAAAATTCTAAGATTTGGAAGCGCCGGGTATCGATCCCGGTACCTCTCACATGCTAAGCGAGCGCTCTACCACTTGAGCTACGCCCCCAACATATGTTATTGTTTTATTTTCAACAACCACTCTCAACAATTTTTCTTGTTACCAAGACAAAATAGTAAGATTTGAAAGCGCCAAGTATCGACCCCGGTACTCTGCAAGTGAATCCATTGCATTCAAAAATTTCACGTATTTTATACTTAAAAATCGCTTGCAACAATTTTTTTCGCCATCAAGACATATTAAACTAAGTTTTGAAAGCGCCGGTTATGAATCACGGTACCTCCCACACGCTAAAGGAGCGCTCTACCACTTGAGCTACGTCCCCGGCAAATAACGCCATTTTATTCAAAGGTTTCACGTGTTTCATTCTCAACAACCTCTCAACAATTTTTATCATATCGGCACCGGCACCCTGCAAGTGAAGACATTTCATTCAGAAATTTCACGTATTTTATACTTAAAAATCACTCACAACAATTTTTATCATCATCAAGACATAACAAAGTAAGATTTGAAAGCATCGGGTATGGATACCAGTAACTGTTACATGCTAAGCGAGCGCTCTACCACTTGATCTACGCCTCCGTCAAGTAAGCAAGCGCTCTTCCACTTGAGCTACGCTCCCCTCATGCGACACCAAGAATGTTAGTTTTGGAAGCACCGCGTATCGATCCTGGTATCTCTCACATGCTAAGCAATCAAGGTTTTACGTGCTTTATACTCAACAATCTCTCACAACAATTTTTATTGTCAACAAGACATAAAATAGTAATATTTGGAAGCGCCGGGTATCGATCCCGGTACCTCTCACATGCTAAGCAAGCGCTCTTCCACTTGAGCTACGCTCCCGTCATGCGACACCAAGAAAGTTAGTTTTGGAAGCACCGCGTATCGATCCTGGTATCTCTCACATGCTAAGAAATCAAGGTTTCACGTGCTTTATACTCAACAATCTCTCACAACAATTTTTATCGTCACCAAGACATAAAATAGTAAGATTTGGAAGCGCCGGGTATCGATCCCGGTACCTCTCACATGCTAAGCAAGCAGTCTACCACTTGAGCTACGCTCCCGTCATGCGACACCATTTTCTTCAAAGGTTTCACGTGTTTTTTTCTCAACAACCACACAAACGCCGGGTATCTATCCCGGTACCTCCCACACGCTAAGCGAGCGCTCTACTCCTTGATCTACGTCCCCGGCAAATAACGCAATTTCGTTTGAAGGTTTCACGTGTTTTATACTCAACAATCATTCACAATAATTTTTATCGTCACCCAGACATAAA